TGGAACAATGTTATGTTTCCACAATGCTTATATTTTATCACACCAGATTTTCTTGACATATTGAAGCAAAAAGGTTTCTGATGGCTACAAGATGTTCGAATTGGACTTTACTCCAATAATTCAGATATGTATAGAAAATAGTCATTGAATGAGGAGTGTTATGGAATGTGAACAATAAACTCTATTGATTAGAAATTCTATGGAGTCATCCGATGACTCCCTTATGAAGTCATCCATAACTTATGTACCGACACATGTCCAATATGTATCTATTGCAGGACACGTGTCAATACACATGCCTAATTAATGTCTATATATGTGAAACAATATTTTGCCTCCGATGTAATTGTATTAGATATAATCGTATTATTACGATTGTCCATAAATTTTTTTTCTATAAATAGAAGATTCAGTTATAATGAAAAACATATTAAGATAACACATTCTTTCTATTATCTCTTTTTCCCTCTAATTTTTTTCCTCTAGTTATATAACAAGTATAATACATAGAGAATAGTTTAAAGTCATTGAAGTATTTGAATTTTTTTTGGATAATTAGAGGGGTAAAAGATTAGGAGAATGCTACCATCCCGTTACGGAATAGTTCCGTTGTGTTTTTAAGCGTTGGATTAACTACCTATCACTAGATTACATGTATATCTATGGCTAGAAAACACAACAGAACCATCCCGTAACGAGATGGTAGCATTCTCCAAAAAATTAATTCTGTTGTCATTATTATCTGAAATTAATAATTCTAATAAAAAAGAAGGGTTGATTGCTTCATTAGGAACAAAAAATAATAATAATCACAGCTCATCTTTCGAACAAGCTGCAGGACAAGTATTAAAACAAGCCAAGCGCTCACAAAAATTATACTATAACTCTTTTACCTAATAAAAACAAATTTCTCATTCCCTCATTATTTCTCTATATTTTTTATCCATATATGCGGCAACATTTTTTTTTTTTTTAAGAAGCATTTCATTGGTTGGTGATTGACTCGATGTTATCAAACTAAAAAATTATTCATTTTTAATTTGTTAAGTAGCCAAACCCAATACTCTTTTCTCTCTCTCTCTCTCTTATTAAATTCTGTGAAAATAATACCTCTTTCTTTTTTAGTTGCCTTCTACCTTCAATCTCTCTCTCTCTCTCTAAATTTCTGCATTCTACTTGTGTGCGTAAACACACACACTCACACACAACTGCCCTTTCTCGCTCCTTTCGATTTTGGGGAGCGAAAACGTTTTTACCTACTTTTCGTGCGCAATAATGTTGTTGCATTGTATCTCGACCCCGTCTCAATTGTTGTTGCACGCACCCTAATTCTTGAGCTGATTTTTTTTATTCTTTTTAATTCTTCGAAAGTTTCTTTTGAAAGGGTCTGCGGAGATCCAATTATTTCACAAACAGAGATGATCGTGATGGGTTTTGGGCTCATGGGTCTTTGCCGATTTTAGCAATTCCAAACTTTTTTCGGCACACTAGGCCGAAAGATTTGATTTTTCTGGCCATTTTAAGGTGAAATATCATTATCTTCCAACAAAATCTTGGGGTCTTTAGAGATTATCATGAAGGGTTTGTCCTCGAATTTCTGAGAAGATTGAGCTGAATTGGCGGGGAAGAAAGTTACAGGAACGAGAAGACAAAAACCCTCCACAACACATGTCAACAGTTCCAATAAATGATGCGAAAACTGAAACGGCGGCGTCTTCAGGAGTCCGGCGTCGGTTTGGAGATCTTAGAGGGGTACAATGGCGCATAGATTTGGGGATTTTACCGTCCAGCCCTTCTGCATCAGTCGATGATCTTCGTCGGGTTACTGCCAATTCTAGGAGGAGGTATGTGTAATTGATTCTGCTATTAGGTTGTTTGATTTTTGTATTGTACCTTTATTCCAAATTTGGGATTAACCTTAATAAAGAGTGTTTGTGTTAAGTCTATATGTACTTCTCTAGCAGTCATCTTTGACGTTTTCGATCCAAATATAGGTATTTCTGACTATTAAAGAGTTTGTTGTGTGTTATTTGTTTCTGATCCCATTAAAATCTCATCATAATAAAATTATTGGGTAACCATTAGCTTTTTCGGATTTTTGGTTTGTTGGGATCGGTTCGTTTTGGTTAAGAGGAAAAAGCAACTTTGTTTTGTCCCAAATTATATTAAGTTGGTCTGAGTAAATGAGATTAAATCAATTATACTTCTCATTTGATCAGTCATATATATATTGTGGTTAGCTGCTTCCTTCTGGTTCCTGTGGTATTCGTAATTTGACGATCTTAAAATATTTGAGCATCCTGTTGTCATTTTCCAAATAAAAACTAGAAGTAATCCGGAAAGCAATTTTTTGCCAGTCAATTCAGGTATAAGTAAAATCCCAAGTTATGATTTGATGCAGGTATGCTTCTTTGAGGAGACAGCTTCTAGTTGATCCAAATGTGCCGAAAGATGGAATGAATTCTCTTGATCTTGTCATTGACAATCCATTGTCCCAAAATCCAGGTAGATTTCCTGTCCTTGTTCTTTTCATTTTATAATGATTGACATGGTTGAATTGGAAGGTATAAGTTTTGTGATAGTTATCAAAGAGAGTGAACGAAACGAAATTCGAACCTAAGTAAACACTTACCTGTACCACTCAAGTTTAGGAGTGTAGCTACAATTATCATGATCATGTAGGATTTCTGTGTTTTCCAATTTTCAATTATATGCATCTGCATGAACCGACTTGTTGTTATCTGTTGTCTGGTAATTATATTCGGGATGACACTGAGGAATATGTTACACTTATCCATTTCCTATTTCTAGATCACCCAAGTTCTGAAAGCTGAGAATTTTCTATTTGGTTATGTTGTTTGTCATTGTTCTGCGTCTCAGATAGCATGTGGGGTCGATTCTTCAGAAATGCTGAACTGGAGAGAATGGTTGATCAAGACTTAACGCGCTTGTACCCTGAAAGAGGTGGTTATTTCCAGGCAAGCGATTGCCAGGCCATACTGAGACGAGTTTTACTGCTTTGGTGCCTTCGACATCCAGAACATGGCTACAGACAAGGTACTCTAACAAAAGGAAAAAAGAACGAGACACTGACTTCAACGTAGTCTATGTTTATTAATGTCAATCAATACTTGGCAAGTATATTAAGTAGGTGTTTTCGCAATCTGAAACCAATCTTACATTCCACCTTCTGAAAGGATAGTTCTTTTGCTTTTAAGAAGAAATTTACCTCTGGGGTCCGCTATTTTTGTTTTTACATGCCTTAATATTTGTCATGTGGTTTTGCTCCGTGGTGTACTTCTTATGGCACAACTGGAAGACTGGATGAAACCATCCGACGACTTGTTTATTTTACAAAAAAAAAAATCAAAATAAATTATTAGAAAAAAAGTAAATTTCTGTAAGAACTAGTACGTTTTTTTTTTTT